GATTGTTATAACTTGATCAAAAATTCTATTCACCTGAGTAATGTTGGCAAGAAAGTTGCTCCGAGATCTTTGATGATTGATACAGCAATGGAGCAAATATACACGTACATAGAGGAAAATGACGACTGCCAATTTACCGTGCAAGAGTTGAGAAATGCCATCACTACTAAATATATTCCAGATGAAAAAACTATAAGAAAACGGCTAATAGATCGCTATCATGATGATATTGTGATATCGTGTAAATTTGGATCTAATAACATCATATGTTTGAAAAAAATTAACCATAATATACTAACAGAAAATTGGTACAATCAAAAACATAAGAGTAAAGAAGAGGGAATTACATATATCGAAAGCAGCAAATGAAATTATTAGGAGGGACATAAGAGCTCAAGTGTACGATAATGAAAATTATACACCCAGTGACAAAATGCTCGAAAATATTGATGATTCAATTCCAAAATCGTTAAGCTTTTTACTATAAGAAATAATATTAAAAGATAAGAAAAATAGAATCGAAACAATTCCTACGTATGAAAAAAGTGCAAAACTATTGCACATGCAATTGTATCAGCGGTGCGACCAAGATAATTTCTATCACCTTTGCTTATTACTTTAGCTGTAATGTTTCATAGGAAATTTTGCTCCAAAAAGTTATAAATATATGTCATTCCTTAGGCTTTTGTGCTTCATACAAAGAGGCATCATTGTACGAAGCTTCAGCTACATTTGCAACTCCACCTGAAATAAAACCTGGCAGCTTCGCTCAATTTGTGCATGATAATGCTGATTTCAATATCAATACTATGAAATGTGCCATGATCTTCACAAATCAGCAGAAGTATTCAAAAATGTCAACGAAGACTCGAATAATATATTTCACAAGCGGGTGTAACATGTATTTTGGGTTTATACGGAGCATCGGCAAAAATTAAAGATTTGAATACATTGAGATACAATTCTTTCATAAAAGCAATGGCAAAAAATGCAAGTGTTCTGTTATCATCGTTACCTCCTATAACTGATGCAGCATTTGAACATCTAAAAAGAGTGCACTTGCAAATCCAGATATGGCTAGGAAATGACGTAGATATTGATAATTGGGAATGGAAGCATTTCAATAACATGCTCATCCCAATAACAATGAATCAATTGCCAGCTCCGGATCATCTATTGCAAATATTATTTTGTAATTGCAACTGCTTGTGGTTGTCCAAAGAGGGGCTTATACTGTAGTGTAGCATGTCTACAATGCAGCGAAAATAGTTGTTCCAATACACCACCTATTATTCAAATAAATGAAGTCGAAGAAGATATGTTATATACGTATAAAGGTACATTGTTTAAACAAGCAAATATTTTATTAATAATTGTCTTTTTTATTCAATAACTATTTTATTGCTATTATAAAAAAAAATTCAAATTAAAAAAAAATAATAAGATCGCAATTTTTTAATAGGTGAACTTTTTTATATGTATCATTAGCTGAACATTCCATTTTGAATTTTTTAATTTCATTCACTGTAACAGAAATCCGTTGTTTTCATGTATTTAACGCCCCGGGCGCTGCACTAACTGAAAAAAGTTTGGGATGAACTAGCCTATCGACTTTATTTATGCCGTGTGACGAATGAGGCTCTCATTGAACATTTGTAAACTTGTAGGTAAAACTGTTTGAGTTACTCTTTCATTCAATGTATGAATTATACTTGTAACTTATATGTAATAAATACTATAACGCGTTAAAACTCCGATATATATATATTCCCTTAGAAACACCGGTACTTTACTTCTTTTTCCCCCTCTCGAAATGGCTACAATACTCAAAACTTTTACATATGTTGTTGCGCAATCTATGGTAAGAACGTTACTTGTTTTGTATAATTTTGCTTGAAGAGAGTGTCAATTCACTGGAGCTGTTATAAGCAAACCAAAAAGCGATGCAATCAGGGGATAATAGCCTTTGTTGCTCCATATCCCACAAAACCCATAACTATAACTGTAAGGGATGCGAAGATCCGAAAGAACTGAAAGAAAAGTTGTAAATCTGTTTTGTAGTAATCAGCTAAGTTACATACGTAAATAAACATCAGAAACTTTGGAAAAGAAACAAGCATGATACCTGTTGTCAATGAACCTCTTAACCTTGAACCATGATCAAGTGACAAGGACGATACCTAAGCTGGCACCCTCTCTCCTAACTTCCACATTACACCAACGGAAGGACATTCGAGGTTTGACAGATTTAACATGTAGTGGCCTCCTCTACACGTAGGTCTTCAGCGGCTCTAGGCTCGAGCTCATGACACACCAGCCACGTGTCCGTGACCTTGACCATTAGGCTACTGCGGCCTCTCATTGAATCAATAACCATCACGGCTCGAAGAAACCGACATACATATTTGCTGTGCATGGTTGACTTTCACATTTGTTACCATTCGCCAATATGCAAATAATCCGAATTTCAGCCTCTGAATCCCATTTAGAAAGACAGATTATCCAGTTTCCTCTTTAACACTTCGCTGAAGACATGCCAGTGATTCATTAAGAGAGCATATAAAATTTCGTATCTAATAATAAGTTTGCCCTAGTAAATTTGTAATATTATTCCTTTAAGATATTATTATTAAAAGGTTGTGAGACTGTTATTGAATGGAATTCCTTACTCAAAACTTCTTTAGATCGAACGTTTCATTCTATGAATTTTTTTTTTTTTTTAAATATCGTTATTTAAAAAAAACAATTTGATAAAAGGAAAAATAATCTATACGCGAATTTTTTATAACGGAAATCAAGATTTTACTTTTTGTACTCATGACATTTTAGATAAAGCATATATATTCCCCAACAGTTTAGGAAATGCAAGCGGAGATAAGAAAGGAACAAGATAGTAGATAAAAATCATTCTTTTACAGGTTTGTTATTGATGAATACTGGTAAACATGAGACACAGTGAAACAGTATATTTCTTTATATGATTTAATGTGTGAATTTAAATTTAATAATCAGCATATCGAAATCTATAAACATAAAATAAACAATGCGACTTATATCTCATTTTGTATGTATAAAAGAATACCAAATTCATATCTAGTGTTGACATTCCTTATACTAGCGATTCTCGACTTTTTTTTTTTTTTTTTTTTTTTTTTTTTTTTTTGTTGTTGCGGTACACTTTTTACATTTTCAAAATCTGGCGGCATACTAAGTATAAAATAGGTTTATAATAATTTTTTTACTTATTTATAATACAGTATGTAAAATAGTTTATGATAATAATTTTCAATGTTATGTACGACAAAAGATAATAAAATGTTTATTGAATAATTAATTATAAATTAATTATAAGGATACATTTAATGCAAAATTGGAGCTGGATGATTTTTGATGATTTCGTTTAGATTAGGTCGTAAAAATGTTAATGCCACCCTCATTTCATCATCTGCACTGAAAAGCATCGATCTTTTCTTATTTGTTTATTTATTTTTATATTTGTTAATACTGAGAATCCAAATTCATGGAAGCAAGATGTAGAAGATTATAAAGCTTTTTTGGCTATTATGAAGTAATCACCTCAATTTTTAATCCAACTGAATTAATTGACTCTTCCGAGTGTTTTAAAATTAAATCTCGATTATTACAGTCCGAAATTAATTTTCCCTCTTCATTCAAATTTAATTCACACACAGATATATTCGATCACAAATGGATTACGAACCCAATCAAAAAATTTTATATCCTATTATCTCCGAAAGGATAAGTTAAATGTACCCCACTAATAGCCTTAGTTTATTTCTATTAAAGAGTCGAATTAATCGGTTACGGATTTTACATTTCCCCCTCAGAGTATAGTTAATAATTGTAAAAATATTTGGCGGTACACAAAAGTACAGCGGCACGGTAGTTGCGAATCACTACCTTATAATTAAAGAGGTTTTTCAATTTCAAACCATCAATTTTGAATATGGATGTCTGAATGAAAAGTTATCTTCAAACTTAAAGGAAATAAACGATCTTAAAATTAAATTAATTCTCAGATTATTGCTGATAATTATTTTGCAATAATTTTGCTTATTCCTAACAGTCTTCTAAGAGAAAAAGAAAACGAAGATAAACCGCTGTCACACAGGTTTTGAAACTTTCTAACTGGTTGATTATGGGTCTCAGTTCCCCTTCAGACTTTTGATTTATGAGGTTGCCTTGTTTTAATAAACAGACGTATTTGGTGACCACATTCGGCTTCATTTTTGTAGTTTTTGTATCATTTTTTTTGGCTCTTTATTAAGCTTATACTTTAAAGTGAAGGTTAACAAAAATCCATTCTGATAATAAGTATACACGTAAATGTTCAATAAAATACATAGTCAAGCAAATTTCTCTCTTACGTTTTATGTGTAATCTTACTCCAGGTGTGACAGATAAATCACATTAAATAATCAGCAAATATCGTAAATTCTAGTCATATCAAAAAATTTCCAAAGCATGATTATGATTGTTCACCATTTAAGCTGTATCTAATCATCTGCACCCCACCAATATCTCCACAGTAAAATTTTATTTCCTTTTCGTTCTTGCTAAGACTGTATGTGGTGTCAGTAACATTTTTAAGTACTGCATAATACATTTAAAGGGATTGAACTGTGTAGCAAGACTCTGTGTTTTCAGTGGAATCAATACTATTCCCTTTTTCTCCCTTTCAAATAATACTAGAAAATTAGGAATGTAGTAAGGATTAACAAGTAAAATATATATTTAAAAAAGTAAGTCAATTCCTACTTAGGCCAACAAAGAAAAATTTTATTTTAGTTACTTTTATATAGTTTAATTTTTATTAAGTAATTATACACAGTTAGTATAAATATGTATATACATGTGACAGAATCCCAATATTAAGTGGCAAAACAGAAAGCGATTTCTCTTTTTATATATGGTATCGGACTATTATTTTGGCTTGTTACTATTTATTCATTCATAAACCACATTCTCAGAAATAAGGTCATCCCAGGTGGGATTCAAACCCATGACCTTTGGATTAGAAGTCCAACGCGCTATCCATTGCGCTACAGGGACACAAAGAGCGGTTTTCCTTTTTCATATAGAGTATTAGGCTATTATTTTTGTCACTATTCATTAATTAATATTTGAAAAAACTTAATTGCTTGAAAAAACTGAAGTGTCATCAACTACACGTTTAAAAAATGTATTTGAACTTGAGTGGATAAAAAAAAAAGTATTTTATTAACGATTGAAAATTTGAACAAGATATATATATATATAGAGAGAGAGAGAGAGAGAGAGGGGAGGGTGTGTGTGTGTGTGTGAACTAACATTAGGAATATTGAAAAAGAAATTTGATTTGATTTACGTCACACTTTGAAGGGTTACTGGTGACGGACTTCGTAATTTTGAGTTACGATCAAGTGATGAGGACAGCGCCTGAGTAGGCAACCCTTCTCCAAGCTTCATCACCACATCAAGAGATCAAGAGAAGGACTAAGAGCCTCGACAGATTTTCCGCGCATCATCCTCTCTACACGAAAGATCTTCAGCTGCACTAAGTTTTGAGCCCGAGACTCAACAACACCGACCATGTGTTCGTAGCCTTGACCACTCGCCTATCATGGCCATAAGGATTTATATGAAGGAAATGTAAGTAAAGTAAGTAAGAAGGAAGTAAGTATTGAAAAGTGTCAAGAAACATCTTAAACATGTTAATAATGGGACATTTGGTTCGACATTCAATTGTTCAGCAGTCTATCTTGAAGACTACTTTTAATTCCGCTGGCTGCACTGATGTGGTACAGCACATAATTTAATTTATGTTCTTATTCATCTAAAAAACCCACACTATTGGTAGTTAGGCTTTATAAAATTATCTCTCTTTAAAAGCTAACTTACTTATGACAATTAGTTTTTTATAGTTGTGTCATTTTCTGTTTAAAAAAAGTGGCCATTAAATATGAAAGATATTCCATGTCATTTTTGATTCTAAAGTTTTACGTGCAATTCATGTTTTAAAAGACAAAAATTACCGATAACTCCATTCAATATTTTTGGGTTGTTTGAAAAAATTGGGTGTATAGAAAAAAATGCATTGTATGAATCTTTCTTTTTATATTCAAAAAGTTTCTACTCACAAAATTTCAAGTATCAGCAAAATATGCAAATTGAATGGTATTGATATTGTTGTCAATAGTAAACTTCAAAGAAAAATACATATGCAATATTTAAATTTATGATACATTGTTCTGCATTTCAAAGAAAATTTATCTGCTCCTACGTTCAACAAATAATCATTTCTTTTTGTAGCAATATTTAACATAGGAATATCAACTTACAGAAAATATTTCCATACATTGCAAAAGTAAATATTGTCTTGTGTCTTCAAAATAAATTAAAGTTTTGTTAAAAGAAGGTACAAATGTAACTAGTTGACAAAACAGAGAGAGAGAAAAATTTAAAATAATCTAATTTATAATGTTGCCTTTTTTGAATCAAACTACTCGATAAAAAGAACACTTTAAAGATAATTGAAGCCTTCTGGATAAAATGTGTGCAAGACACAGGATAATACTAAAATGCCAGTAAATATATTAAAAGTACAAAATATATTAAAAGTAGCAATATATGTTCTAAATATCACACATGTACTACGGAACTTAAAATAAATAAGTGCTTACATGAAATTAAAAATCCAGTTATGAGAAATGCAACTCTTTAACCAGAGCAAACTGAGACAGAAAAAAAATTCGAAGCTTTTTTTTTTTTAATTTGTTATTGATGTTTGTCTCAAAAACTTCCAAGTTTTCGCAATTGCCGCACTCAATATCACTAATGAAGTCAGAGGATAAACATGAGTTGACATTGCTTGGTTATGCAATTCATGCGGCAGTTGCATTGAAGGGCGAAAATGTAATATGTATTAAACAATAAACTAAAAAAACGAATAGCGAAGGGAAAGTTTCGGAAAAACCTGTTGTCCAGCGTATATGACCTCCGGTGCGTTTTATGCTACAACAACCCTAGCTTTCTTTTACAGCGTTCGATTCTTAACTACGCACTACGAATTCTCGAGACAGTGCTGAAACGTAATCCTATTCACTCACTCTTTGAAATATTATGCCAAGCAAATTACTTTAGAAGTCTCTTTTATCAAAGGATAATGCAGGATCTTTATATTTCATTGCATCAGTGAAAAGATATTTTAGTAGGATCCTACATTTTCACTCATTGCAAAAGAATATATGCAAATTACCTAGTCTTTTAGCAAGATGTGTTTAATTTATGATCTCTTTGTGCTTAACTGATTTCTCAAGATTAAAGGAGTACTTAAGGTATCCGACTACTTGCGACAACTTTTTTTTGAAAAAAAAAAGGAGATATGGAGATCTTTTTGTGATTTTTATATTTATTTAGCATGTTTTAAGGAAAAAATCCTAGAATTGGTAAAAGAAAAAAAAATTATTATTAAAATGGGAAAAAACTAGTAAAAATGTTCGAAAAATTACATAAACGGGGCCCGCTCTGTACAAAGATTTTATGAACAAATTCTCAATTTTTCAATTTTGATGTGTTACTTTATTATTCCTGTTTGAAGCGACCTTCACGATAAGAGATATTTTAATTTTTACCAAAACTAGAGCACTTTATGTTAGTCATTATACGAAATTGCTTAAAAATACATTGACTATATTCACATAAAGAACTGCAAATTTTGAAATAAAACAGTTATTGATAAATCTGAAGATCAAAACACTTATACTGTTATGCAGAACATAAGCAAAAAATTTCAGCTAATTATTATCAAAACTTTTTGAGCAATCGCGGTCCCCGTTTGAGTTTTTCGAAAAAAACACATTTCGAGTAAAACGCATTTTAAAGTTTGACATCTTGTATAAAGTTATGGCATTTGCTTTTACTAAAACGCTTGTAGTTTTTGTTCTAGAGGAGGGAAAATAAAGTACTTGGTATTGTTATTAAGTTAATAAAATGGTCTATAAAATAAAATCATAAAAAAATTTGCCAATTTTTGAAAAAAATTATGGTTTTAGGGTAGTCTGATATCTTAAGGTACAAAATACATAAGGAATGATAGAGTAGTAAAAAATTGAATTAAAAAAAAGAAATTCCCTCTTATGATTTTAAAACAACACACTTCAAATAATGCTATTCCTAAATAATTGCTTCATCCGAATATTTAAGTAATATAGTAGAGTTCCGAGCACTCGGCCTTAATGTAGACCGAAGGGTAGCCGAATTCGTGAAAATGCCGGGTTATCGAGAATAGAATTATAAAAGAATAAGTACAATTGTGTGTGCGTTAGCTCAGAAAATATTGAGCTGCACTCATATGTATTGTTTGCTTGAGAATACATTAGAAATAAACTCCAAAATACCTTCAAACAAAGAAAAAGTACAGGCATGAAGGCATAGAGCATTTATTACGTGAAAATGAAAATTAATGAAAACATAGTATGAGTAATTTATTTACCTTATCATGCATAAGGAAAATTAAGTAGCGATTTTTTTGCAAAAAACTGGCTACTTTTTTTTTAAGATGTACGTAATGTTCTGTTGTCTTCCGCACTGCCTTGGGGCTGCGGTAGCCTAGTGGTAAAGGTATCGGATCATGGCAGGCATGTCATGAGCTCGAGCCCAGTACCTCCAAAGACCCGCCGTGAAGGGCAGCGATGCACGTTAAATCTGTCGAGAGAAGAAACATCCTCTCGTTGGGGTGGTGTGGTAGTTAGGAGGGGGCGTCAGCTTAGGTGTCGTCCACGTCACTTGACCATGGTTCAAAATTACGTGGCCCGTCGTCAAAAGCCCTCGTGTAGCTGAACAGTGTGACGTTAATATTCACTCACTCACTCCGCACTGCCTTCTACAGTTTCTGTTTTATCACGAAGACGGCGAATGAACAGTAAGTCCATTACTGACGCACCTTGTTCAAATACTGTAAAAAGGTTTGGACAGCCTCAACGCTAACGCCTTTATAATTTTCCGGTATTTATTCATTTACTGTGACAGCAGCAATAATTTCTGCATCGGAAACATTGTCTTGCTCGGTATCTCGTTGGCATTTTTTCGACCATCAAAGGTGTGTCAGAGTTATACGGACTGTCGGGTTATCGAGTGGCGAGTTTTCAAGACTCTACTGCAGGGGTGTGAAGCTCGCGGCCTACAATGAACATTTTTGTGGCCTGGCCAGTCTATTGGCACACAATAACATATAATAAAATATCAAAATTTCTCCCGAAATAGGAAAGATAGTAGCAAAGAAGATATGTCAGTGTAACAGGACGTAAACATTAAATTTTTCCTGATCTTTTATTTGTGTTTGTTATAATGTATTATTCGATATAAATTTACATTTCAAGAAATTTTTATTTTTTTACGGCCCACCTTGCATTAAGTCTTGTTTGTTTCGGCCAAGTTAGCCTTTAAGTTTGACACCTCTGCTCTACTTATTGGAAGATATTAATTAACAGCTTATTTTAAGCAATGTGACACTAGCAATTACAGTTTCCGAATATGAATATCTGTTGCTTTTATTGTTATTTTATATAATATTGGGACGTCGAATACATTAACTTTAGGTACTTAGTGTTGAGCCTGTTTCAGTGTATCTACTTTTAAAGTCTAATAATTTAAAATTTCATTTTTTCGTCAGAATTAAGAAGATAAAAAAATTATGAGCCTCAATTGCTTTATTCCAAAAATTTATTTAAATTACCTCTTGAATATTATTTAAAGAACAATTCTGAATAATGCAAATTTTTTTCATATTTTCTTTTATCTATTATTGTAAGAGTAAATGAAAATAAAATATAACTTTTACTCTTGATTATTGTTAAGTAACACAAATGAAACATAACACACTCATTAGTACTGTCAGAAATCGTGTAACTAAAACATAAAATATTTTTTTATTCAAATATAAGACCAACCCCGCTCTTTCAAAGTAAATGCCAATTCTAAAAATTGATCCTCATAAAATTCAATTGTTTCCAAGGTAATTATTGTGAATTAAGAAGCACTGCAAATTATGCTGTCTCGTGAAGTACTTTTAA